TTACCCTTTGGGCATTTAAATAGAATGTCTGTAATTCATAATTTAGGTTACAATGTCACTATGCTGACAGGCTATTTATAAGCTTATAATTAGCATAAAAACTGATGTATTGTTCCCATTTGTGGTGTGTATTTACAGATTTTGAGTTTCAAAACTTATTGCAATCTATAAGAAGGTTTCCAGTGACATTTAATCAGCTTCATACCAGACCATAAAGCTTTTATTTTACCTAGCTACCACAGTATATCTGGTATTTCCCCCTTATGTGACTTTTCTATGTAGAAACAATCAGGAAGATTAATTCAAGTTAACTTTAAAAATGGATAAATTAGGCCATATAAAAATGTTGTGTGGGCATTCATTCAGAATTAAAGCAGCCTCAGCTAAATTTTCATCAATTCAATTTCAAAATAGGTTAAACTAAATTAAATCAAGGTCACCTTAGTTCTTAATAAGTGACCACTCAAGCATTTAGCACTGTTTATTTGAGCTCTTTAAATGTACACCTCTTGTTAATGCACAGTATGCCCCTGGTTAGACAAACCTGCTGAGATTTAGTCTCCAAGTATTTCTTTAAATGTCGACTTCAGAATAGTGGAATGACTAACACCAAGTTGTTGGAAAACCTGTATAGGCCGCCTTGGTCCTCACAATTCTAACAAACATGAAGTATTGAGACATTCCTGTATATCTGCAGAACGGAGGCTGGTCTACACAGACTCTTGCAAGCAGCCTTAGAGCGCAGCTCATCCTGCTCTCACACTGAGCGCTTGTACTGCAGAGTGATGAGCAACCTGGAAAATCTTACTGAATGAGAAAAACCTGCATAGACACAGGTCTTGTAAATGAATGAGCACAGCTCTTATACAAAAGAATCTGAAACTTCTTAGAGTGCCAGTTCCTTCTCTTATTTTCCAGCCAATGGCACACTTTCTTATGTCCAGAAAATACAACATAAATATTAGTGATTTATTGCTGAATTCTGGTGAGAAAAAAATGATGAATCTCTAACATAAATTATTTCGAGGATGCTATTACTGTTTTCATTATTACTTTCAGAGACACAGCTGTTACAGTTAATGGTCCCTCCCTTGATCTATTTTTCTATTTTGAGAAAGGACTTTGTATCTTTTCTCCTCAACATTTTTGTTCAGCTTCTTTGATCTAGTTGCATTCAAATGGTCAGCTTCAGGAGTATGAGTTTATGCAGCTGAAGTTCTGGAAGAAACTGCTGATAGAATACCAGAACCATCATACATCTGGGATGTACAGGCTGTCTGGGTGGCAAGGAGAGTAGAAAATATAGTATCTTCAGTTCATCACCTGTCTATAGATGAGAGCTACCTGTCCTGCAGTGATGAAGTTCTTGCCTTCTCTTTTGAATATTGTGCATTATTTTAAAAGTAGTTCAATGCTTCTATTTTATAGAACAGTACCAATATGTTTGTGCTTAATGAAATTGACAAAAACTACAACTTCAGAATAATGAAAAGGATCATGTCTTCCTCCAAAGTCTTCAAATGCTTCAGAACCAAGGAAAAAATAAAGGAAAGTGGTCTCATTCTCTTTCAAAATAACGATCCATGGAAAAAATCTTACACGTTGCATTGCTGACAAGTTTATGTTCCCTCAGCATTGAGGAAACATCCTTGATGGTCTCTCAAATGGCTCTCATATCAAATCTCACATTAAATAGAACCCCTTCCAACTGCAGATTTGGAAATCATCTTTGCATTGGAAAATATATCACAGGAAGACAGAAAGTGCAAAGCAATAAAACAACCCTACAGTAATAAACCAATCACCTCATGCTAATACAGACATGTAATGAATTAATCCACTGGAGCTGCTGAGGTTTTCATGTGGTGATCACTATGTGCCATTGAATATCTTTTGCTGATAATATGATGAAATGATTCCTCTTTATGCTAGAAAACATCTGAGAAACTGTATTGCTCTCTATCACTGCAGAAGCAGAGGAAAAGTCTAGCTGAGATGCTTTTTTTTCATAAAAGTGCTAGCATAGTATGTTCATATAAACGGTGTTCCAACTCTGCTTAATGATAATTTTAGCTTTCCCAGAGGTACAACTTCTTTGACTAGACAGTAACTATAGAAGTTCTCACGTCCAAGAAAGTTTTAAACCTCTAATAATGTATGAGGTTAGATGCATGTATTATGTAAGTCTATTTATGACACATCTATTTACATGGAAGTTAGCATGACTAGTTTGATTTCTCTTGACCTTGAGAATAATCCACATATTTCTCTAATTTAACAAAGAAATGTATACAGGGTTAGTATCAATCTCATTATTTCTCACTTTTCATCCTCTCCCCCCCCAGCCTCTCTTTATTTCTGCCACATTTGCATATCTGTGGGCTTAGATAACAGCACAATAGAAACATCAACCTCTTCAACTAACAGTATGACAAATGTAACACACATTGTTTCCTGAGTTTTCAGCCATCAGGACACTTACAAGGTAATGGCAATAAACATAATCAACTTTTGATTAATTTAGATTTTCATACTCTGGTATAAGCCTCAAAACAAACTCGTAATTATATACAGCTGTTCATGTAAAGGGTATGGTAGATAGTCCTCACCACAGAGTTGAATTTGTACACTCCTCAAATTTTACTCCAAGAATTGAAAAATCTGCTTCTCTGTGCTTGCAAATATATTTGTTATAAGATAGAAGAAAAAAAATGAGTTCCAAGAAATTCCCAATTTTTGTGTGGGTAAGTTTCAGTCTGGGTACAAATGTGAATTTTTGACATTTAGGACAGGAGAAAGAAGGACAAAGAATTCTAAGTAATTTCTTGCAGCTCTACAGGGGAGTGAAATTTAGTGTCTACTGCACATATCACCATTGTTTATGGAAGGTTAAAATTCTGTTTAAATGTGGAGCATTCTAAAATTGAAGATGTATACAGTTTTTTAAATTGCTTATTTGTCTTTATCTGGTTACTTTTTAATATCAGGGAAAGGTTGAAGGACTGATTAAAATCTAAGAACACATGAATCTACTCTATTCAGCTTTTGAAAGCTGAAAGAAGGTTTACTATTTAAATTTTTGGATTAGCTTAATGTGTAAATCATTTTCTATTTCCATTTATCAGCAAAAAGTATTAGTATTCAGTGCACTGGGGAAAATGCACTGGCTTCATCTGCAAACAGAACAGGCAAAAGCTATCGAGTCCCAACTCAAGTGTACACGACCTAAGATTTGGTCTCAACTTTTAAATTCTCAATGTGAACAAATACCAAAGAACAACATTCATAAGGAGAAATCACTTTGATATTTTTCTGCAAACCTTTCATCCAATTGTCTGAAAACTATCTTCTTCTTTTTAGTGGACAAACAATAGTTTGAAAATACTTGCATACTAAATTCTGTTTGCAAAGCCAGTTACGAAGAACGGTTTGCACAGAGCTGCTTATAATCTGGGAAACATCCAGTCAAGAATAATTGCACAATGATAATGTACAATTAAATTAACCAATCATAACAATTACTGTAAATGAAAGCCACAGTACCACAGTTTTTGAATGATGTAAATTTTGCAGGAGTGTGGTGTGCAGGAGAAAGTCCGCTGGGAGACAAGTTTTAGCACATTCCTGTTTTACACTGAATTTGGAATTTTGCTCCATAAGATAATTCTTTTCTCTCCTGCCAAAATCTTTGGTTTAACTTACTGCTTATTTATTATGATTAGCACTATTTGATCTATATGAATTCTATATTAATAAAATAGTAATAACTTTTTGCTAACATAGATTCTACCTTCTGTATCTATCAGTTAACAACAGAATCATTAAGAGGAAATAAAGTCTATATCTGGCTCTACAACTCTGTATTCCTGATTAAAAAAAAAAAAGATGAAAAAAAAGCTAAGCCATTCTTATATGTAAATGTAGTTGCCCTTATACAGAAGTCTTGTGAGCCATGTGTGCAAATGTTTTCATACAAATACACATGCTAACATTTGGATGCCTGATCTTCGCATTTCATTTGCATTTTCTCTTCCTTGATGTCAGATTGCTCTGTACTTGTTTTATACTTAGCTACCTTTTTTATTATTATTCAAATATTTTAAGTTTATACATATGGATAAATAGATATTTCTAAATACATAGCTACATATAACTACACATATATCACACATTTTATATCATGTATATAGGACTCTAAAGCATTCTACTTATAGCAAAAGAGGTAAGAAAATCATATACAACAAAACAGTCTAAATGATTAGAGGTAAAATTCTTTCCTCAGTCGTTTGAGACAACAAAGTTGGGGGGGAGGATCCATATTAATATTTAGTTCATATTTTCTGTATAAACCAGTTATACCTGACAGGTGAGATTAAAGACTTTGAACATTGTCTGTCATGACTGAAGTCATAGGGATTAATTTACACTAGTCAGGAATCTGGAACATATTTCTTTTTTTACCGTAAACTAGGAAAAGCATGGCGCTAACTGATAACACACTGCAGGGCGATTTCTTCCTAAGATGCCCTACCTTTATTTACCTTTTTTCCGGGGGGGTTGGAGCAGAGGGCACATGATGATGGGAGACAATATTTATTAATGTGAGAGAAAATAAATTGAACGTGCTTCTCCTTATGTGGTTTTGTTATGGAACAGATTTTCTATGAGGAGCATATGTTTGTTTTAAATAATGCACTGCCAAATTAATTACAGACCACTTGCTTTATAAATTAATTAAATGAATATATGTTTAAAAGTTTAGGAAGGTGGTAAAGCAATACCATTTGAGCAAATCATTCTCCACAGGAAAAATATTTATGGATTTGATTTACCTGGCTTGCCTCACATCGTGTCCCCTAGACTTGAATAAGAGATGTGAAAAGATCAAGAGTGATCTCCATTATGACACTCCCCCCCCCCCCAAACAAAATAAAAACAACAAAAAGAAAAATTTTGGAAAGCAAAAGGAAGTTCCTTTACAATAAAGGAAAATCATATACCTGATGTCAGGTTGTGATGTCGTGGAGCTTCTTTTGCTGGTGGGACTCCTAAAGAACAAAACAGATGGCAAATTAATCTGCAGTTTCAGGTCAAAATATTTAAATAAATTTCAATAAGAAACATGCTAGTTTCTTGGAATCAACTCACAGATAAGAATCTGTATAAAACAGATTGGCTTTTTAAATGTGACTTTCCTAGTAAATTATTTAAACATAGAAATTTTGTGTGTAGTAAAACCATAGAAGCAAACTGCTTCTAGATACTAGTTTAGCAAACTTGCAGCAGTACAACTAACCAACTGTTATCCTTTGAGGTTCCAGGACTTCAATACACAATGTTTATATGCAAGTCACTGTCTTTCACCAATGTAGGGAAGACATTTATGTCTTAGACCACTAACTTAATAAATTAGTGTAACTTATTACTATTAATTATCCTCAGAGGTATAGCAGAAACTGTTTCTCTGTCTGGACATTACTGTAGGGAAACAATCAAGACAGTGCTGTGTCCAACAGGTTAGTCAGAATATAGGTGACGACGCAGTCTATCTTAATTGTAAAAAGCGCTTCTTGTTATCAATGTAGTTATGCTACAGTATGCAGCTGGTGATCTAAAGCATCACACAAGCTATGGAGATGAACTTTGCATCACCTCACTAGGGAGCATAACAGCAGACTAAGTGGGAACTACTAATCCTAGTAGTCTGTGGATAGAGTGCTGGAGGACCCTGCGGACAGGCTAATGCTGTACCAGCCAGGGAGGGTCACAGGCAGGGCACTGCTGCAGCCAGATTGGATGTGTTGATGGAATCCTTGATACTCATGGGCAAGGGAGCCATCAGACATTCAATTACTGGGGATTTATGCACAACTTCATCATTTTGGCTTACTTGCATATATTTAGAAAGACTAACAAAGCTCGTCTTTCCAATCCCATGAAAAAATCCTAATGTTTGCATTTTCATTGCTGTTTGCAGAGATTTTCATCCCTTTATTACCTTTGTTTTTTTCATCTTTCAGATGTTTCTTCTCAATCGTTTTTTCTAGCAAGGAAAAAGTAGCACAGTTCAAGATTGATAAATTGACTGCTGAATAGATTATTACCTAGAGTTTTCAAGTAAAATTCTTTGAAAATTAACACAGATCTTTTTGGGGTTGTTTCAAATAGCAATACATGCACAATTGTAATCTTATACTATTTTAATTGTGATCTTCTACATATATATGCACACACAGAGTAAATTCCTACCTTCTTTTTCCTTAGCTGTCTTTGTTTTTTTCGTGGCTAGAAAGATTTGCAAGGAAACAACATTAAGCGACAGGCATCAGAAATATGGGGCTCTTACAATAAGTACATTGCACAGAGCTGATCTCCCTAGTAATTTCCATGGAATAATAACTGTGCTAAATGTGTCTCATGGCATGTATACAATGTATCCAATATTACAGCAGTGGCTGCTACCCTTAGTGGCAGTAGCAGTTCTGGGCTTTCTGAATAGTCATTGGAAATTGTTTGAATGTTGCTGGTTGCAGAGTAGTTTGGAAACTCCTGATAAAGGCTTTAGGCACTAGAATTCTGTAATTCCCTAACTACTGCCAGAATTCCTTAATTATTGGCTCCCAAAATGCAGCAGGGAAGGATCCCTCTGCCTATTGCCTGCTTTTTACTCTCTTTCCCGGAGCAATCTCGATTGTCTGAAACAAATAAACAAAAAAACCCCACCCCAGGATATGGAGCTAGATGGACCTTTAGAACCACCAGATGTGACCATTCTGAAGTCCTGCAGCACTAGATTCTTTCTGATTTATTTTATTTAGTTTATTTTTCTCTAATTGTACATTCACTTAGAACATGTTCTTTTTTCTTTTCAGCATCCTTTTCCCCAGCCCGCAAAAACACAGACATTCGGTCTGTGACTCTATTCAACAAGGCAGACTGAAATTAAGCAAGGTGTATTGCTTCAGGCATCTGAGCCCATTTCAGTATTCCCTGTTGACTACAGCAGAAAACTGGCAGGCTGCCTTCGAATTGTTCATTTTCACTTCATATCACCCAACCAGTTGTAATAACGCTTTGTTCAAAGGCTTCTGGTGCATGTGTTATCTGATTAACACTAGCTTGCTCAGTGCTGATCACCTGTGTCTAGCTCACCAAAACATGCTGCAGTAGATGAACACTGAAAATAACATAATCAGCCGATCAGAACAGTCTTTGGTAGAGACCTGTGCAGCTGCAATGCTGTCAGTTTGCCAATGCTGGTTTACATCAGCATTGTTCATTGTTGATGAAAAATGTGTATTAATCAACACTGGTATGTTCATTCATTCTTTCCATAAGACATACCAGAGAAATGTAATATTTACCTGCTGTTGGGATTTCACCTGTTGGCTCTCCAGGAAAACAATCAGAAATGAAGAGGAAGGGGGGAAGGAAAAGAATATGAGGTTCAGTACCATGCTTTTTCAAGGCAAGTAACCATTTAAATATATCTCTTTCATCTGCAACTTTTCTGCAGGATATTAATTTGCAAAGAAATGTGCCTTAACAATGGGCATGTACACAGAATTTCACACTGAAAGCTAAGAGTCTCACTCTTTGAAGTACTATAATCCAGCATGCAATGGTTCCCGCAAATGCAAACACTGTGCCAATCAAAGCTTTCCGGCAAGCAAATATTTAAATAGAGTTCTTTTTAAATGTGCATTCAAGGTTATAGCTGACTATGCTATTTTCCAAAAAATGTATTCAGTTTAATTTTTAACTCTCTTTTCTTATCATCCACACATCCCAACCAAAGACTGACACTGACCTTAAATAGCTGGCATTCACCCCTCTATAACTGTTTCTCCTGCATTATCAGTTTGCTTTGCCTTTTAAGAATAAATGCACTTGAGAGCACAGCACCTAGCACAAAAGAAAAAAATATATTCCTGTGCTATTATAATACCCATAATAATAAATGAAAATTGATCAATGTGATGGGATAGAAATTTCATGGTATAAACCATCATTAGTCTTTTTAAATCAAAGGAATGGATTAAATTGTGATTTGGAATTCAAGAATTTTTTACACATTGCTACTTCATTAGTCCCAGTTTTATTTTAGAACACAATTTTAAGGAAAGAGAATAACCTCACTAGGCAGGAAAAACCTTTATTCTTTGAACCTAGAGCTGCATAAAAAAGGAATATGCTCACAAAACATTTCAAGGTCTCCTTTGATGGAATTATTTTCTTCATGCCGAGTTTTGGCTTCAGAAGAACATGAGGTTCTACAGCTCACACCAAGGTGAAAATGTTTCAGTCAATGTTTTTTCAACAGGAACACTGAGCAATTAAGCATGATTTTCACTAACACAGCCCAGGAAACTTTCATTCATGTCTTCATTCATAAGGAGACTCATAAATGTCAGTGCTCAATACTTAGGCACCACAGGCATTCAGCAAAGGCCAGTTCTGCTGCTATTAAATGCTAGCATGCTTAAGTCCTTTAATATTTACATTTCTGCTTACGATTATGCTCACACGTGCTGAAAGCTGATACATTACTGCATGGTGACCCATAGATTAATACGTCTTCTCATTTTCACAAGAAAAAAAAAAATTGTCTCAGGCACCAAATCTAGGAAAGGGGTTCATGCCCTCACTCCTTAACCGAGGAGTTCTTCCTCTTGATTGCAAAACACGGTTTGGTATTACTTCTTGCATGAGTAAGAGATGCTACCAGTTTTGTCCTCTGTTCAAGGTAACCTCTCACAATTTGAGAGTCTTTAGTCAGTATGCAGGGAGTAAATTCTGAGTTTCATTACACATTCAAATTTGATATAGGATCAATTGCTGTCAAAGACCCTCCTGCGTGCTAAAACAGAAATAATGAAAAATAAGATAGTTTATTAATTACTTTTATAATTGCATGGTAATTCACTTAGCAGGTTACTATAAAAATGTATTTGTTGTTAATTTGGGGACTTTTCAAACTCAAACTTGTATTTCTGCTTATAACCTGTCATTCATTTAATGACACAATCTCTCTACTCATTTAAATCCCATTTACTTTTACAGTAAGACTGCACAGGGTGTAATGTGTGAATAAATTTGGCCCAGGAAAAGTGTATGGATTTATTTTACATTTCTGCTAGACCTGAACTCCAAAATCAGTGAGCATTTTGTGTCCATGGCTATATCTCATGCTGAATTACGTGATAGCTATGTTCATGTTACGGCGAACATACTGTACACCTGGCTGAGAAATATATGAAGCAAAACTATATAGAGCTCCAGAATAAAGAAGGCAGTGATCCAGCTAAGTGTTCTTCTTTGAGTGGAAGAAAGTAATTTAAAATAGATAGCTCTGGTACTTAAAATCTTGAACTAGATATATTCAAGGATGGTTAGCTCAAGATAGGCACTGTAAACAGAATTACTTTTGCATATGATCATAGGTCTGTTATTGTTTTTTCTTTTCTCTTTTTAATTTTTTTTCTTTTCTTTTTCTAAAGGCACTGTTAACCTTTATAATGATTTCAAGCAGCAGGATATAAGGTCAAGAATGTGCTACAAATATCCATCTGCAAAGGTCAAGGGAAAATATCTTGGCTGTGCCTTATATTCACAATATGCCAGGGTAATATAGCTCTTGATAAAAAAGCATTTTAGACAGTGATTTTGAGTTAAAATGATCCTTATTGCAGAAAGCATGAGGAATTAGTCACTTAAATGTCTGATGGTTCTCTAATAGAAGAGAGTGCCATCAGTGGGTGTCTCGAATAAATCAGTGCAGAAGACATAAAATGTCAGTGAAAAGATCCAGTGAACATAAGACTGAACAAATCCGAATAATGGAATCAAACAGAAGAAAATTTACGTAAAATACTGGCAAAAATGGAAATAAACCCACCAATAGCTTCACAGGAAGGAATAATTTTGCAATGGTGACTTGAAAACTGAACACTGCAATTCAGGATTGCAGGAGATCCTTCAGTGTTGGTACATTTCAGCTGTTTCGTGTTCCCCCTTTCCCTTTGGAGCTGGGGTTCAGAATAACACTGTGTCTTCTGATAGGTGTTTAAGAGTGAGTATTCATCTTGTCTAACTTCAAGCACCTAACATAGGAGACTAATTTAGGAAGCTTAATGGAATCAGTTTGCCTTGCCTTGTTGTCGGCTTCTGACCTGGCGCAGGAAGAGGTCTGTGTCTCATGGTGCTTGGCCTTGGTTTTGGATACTCTTTATAGATTACTTTGCATCAGAATGACACGTGGTTTGGTCTTGATGTGCCAGGCGCAGTACAGAAAAATAAAACAAAGATCCTGTGCTCAAGAGGCTACAACTAATTCATCTGTGAAGGTCCATACTTCAACTTTTTCACAGTTCAAAGCATGCAGCTTAAACACTGTCCTTCTGATTGTTGTCTGATCATGATTTGCAGTATGTAACATGCAATGAGTATGCTTGCCACAATAAGCATAAATCCCTGTCTTTATCTATTCAGAAGTCTTACTGACCTTAACAAGGACATTATCCAATGACTTCAGTGGAAGTCTTTGTTATGCTAGAAATTCCCCTTGAATCCTCCTTAAAACTCATCTAAAATGGAAATATTCCTTTCTCTTTTTTAATTTAATTTATTTTTTATTAAAGTAGGAAAAAAAAGTGTATTGAAACAAGGCCAAGAACGTGCTATCTATTCAGAAGTCTTACTGACCTTAACAAGGACATTATCCAATGACTTCAGTGGAAGTCTTTGTTATGCTAGAAATTCCCCTTGAATCCTCCTTAAAACTCATCTAAAATGGAAATATTCCTTTCTCTTTTTTAATTTAATTTATTTTTTATTGAAGTAGGAAAAAAAAGTGTATTGAAACAAGGCCAAGAACGTGCTTAGTGAATTCACGAATAAAGTCATTTCCAAGTGGTAAAAGAAGTAATGAAAAGGTTGTCTAATTCAGTTATGCTACATGCCATTTTGTTATTTTTAATAAACAATATATTTGCATAAAGATAAATCATGTGTCTACACTCATCTAAAATCACCAGAGCATCAATTATGCTACTAGCATAATTTACTTTGCTTTTATAAAAAGTAAAAATTGCAAACAGAGTTTGACTGTTGCAGCTTCACAATATTAAATTATAAATGTACTTAGTTTTGGCATGTTCAGCTGTTACTAAGCAGACTGAGTACAAGCGTATCTGTAGTATAAGCAGGAAAATAGCATTATCTAACATGACAAAATTGCAACAATGTAAATTGAGAAAACATGCGTGAGAAGAGAAGGTTTATATTCCGTAGGAAACAAGACATGACACGTACTTGCAGTGTTTTTCAGTTTGACTGGGAAGTAAAAAGAGGAAAGAAAAATGGTCAGAACAGTCAGGTGCAGCATAATGCTGTTATGGTGGAGAATGTCTTTATTTGTTCTATGTATTTACTGCATATCAAACCATAATTTTTAGTACTCTCACAGTAATTAATGACAATCTAATGACGGATAATAAAAATAGGGTTGTTCTTATCTACACATGATAATTGCTGTGCTAGAGTTAAGGATGAATAATGCTAACAATAAGAATTTTAATTCTTCACTAATTTCCTTTCACTGAGAAGCGTGGAGAAGACATTTTTTAAACCCGTGGTGATTGCTTCACAGTGAAACTGAACAGTGCTGCTTCCTATACCTACGGTAATTTTGCTCTATCTTGTACAAGTGAGGCTGTATGGGAGTTATGATATGCAGAGACATTTATCATAGACGATGGATAGTGCCAGGTCATGATCTGACTAGTGTATCATATAATATCTGCTATGGAGGAAAATTAAACTGTTTCTGGTCCTGAGAAGTTGACTCATACAGGAAGGCTGTGAAGTCCAAATAAATGGCAGATACCCACAAATAATTAGTGAAATGAAGCTATTTAAAGCAAGCACTTTCAGAAAAGGGTTCAAATTCTTTGCTGGCATAACTTCTTTGATATCAGTGGAATTACAGAAGCAGAAATTTGACCTTTGATATATATGTCTCCAGAAAATGACAACAGGCATTGCAAATACATACTGTGCTACCTTAGCTATGGTATGACACGTCAAGGCCATTCTATACAGCAAAATAAATCAAAGGACCATGATTTTGACATTTGTCATATGCAATTCTATTTTGCAGTTTTTTTAAATAGCAGTTTCAAAAGAAATGAATGCATAAAATGCAGAAGTGCCTACCTGGTTTTGTAGGTGGAACTTCTTTTTCATGTCTGACTGCTTTATGCTCTAGATAAAAGAAACAGCATAACAAAATTGCTTCTAAGTTACGTTTTGTATGTTTTTTTTTAACTAAGAAAGATTGCATGTATATTTTTCAGGTATAAACATTATTTTCTCTTGCTTCATGCTGTTATTTTGGAAAAAAGCCGCATGAGGAATTACTAACAGATTATCCACTGAGGGATCTGCCACAAAATAGTAAAGTTCACTAGTACTGCACATAGTTCCACACATATAGCTACTATTAATGTTACTAAGAGTTATGCATGTATCTTAAGGAAGAAGTCAGTTAATAGAGGCTCCCCTCAATTTCTGAAATGTAATTTGTATCTAATCCATTTTTGTTATTTGAAAGGAGAGTACAGAGCAAACTCAGCAACCATTCACTCGACCTTTATGTTGTTGAGTCAGATATACTTGAGCTGAATTCCCAGTCTCAAACACATCCTATTCTGTATGAATAAATTATTTCTAACTGTGGAAAATTAGAGAAGTAGCACTGCTTGGTAGGCAATGCAACTTTTTTTTCCCCTGCTCTCCTTTCTATTTCATTATTATTGCTGGAAAAAATGAGAATTTTTGTTATGTTGCTGGAAATCGAAAAGATGAAGAACCTTTGTTTTAAAAACAAAGGCTAGCACTACATAATTTATACAAAAGTCACACCTGCTTAAAAGTAATTGAAAAAACCCCACACCACAGATCTCATAGCATAGTAGCAGCTGTGCCAAATGCATACAAATAGGGGCTACAACACATTTTAGAGCTGAGGAATCAATGGACAGCTATGCTGGCCTTGTTTCCAGGTAATGTTTCGCACAGCTAAAAATCTGTGCATCAGGTTCTCTTTCAGCAAGGAGAAGGACACAAAGGTGGGCTGTAAAGTGGAAAATGTTCAAAATGTGAGTAGCCCCTGAAAAAAAGGCAATATGCCTCAACCATTCTGCTACTTAGGTGAATAATCGAACTCCTAACAACTGTGATTTCAGGAGAAGATATATGCCAGGAAATGCCGAGATGAAGACATGATAGGGGATTTCAAATGGGAAACAATTTTATGAGGTGTGAATTAAAACTTATGTCAGTGAAAAGTGATATTCTTCCCACATCTGGGCTTTTTTTGAGCGTGGGATTTGGGGACTTAACTGAATATTTTTTTTTTACTTTTGCAGTTTACCTTGCATGCTGAAGGCATGAAAGATATAGAAAGTTAACAAGCAGACTGTGTGGTAAGTTAAGGTATGGACTCTCTTCAGTTCTTTTTGACTGAGAAAAATTCTAGATGCAGTTATACTAAAATAAAAAATAATTTTCTTAAATGTGATGATGTCTCTTTTTAATTCGGCAGGAGTATTTATTCAACCCAACTAATTGCTAACAGTGATTTTGAAAAAGCTTGTCACTCCTGTATTAATTTTTTTTGTTGAGACTTGTGATATAAGAAGCATAGAACGAGTTGATGCCCTGTACTGAAGCGATTGGTTATGGCAAATGGACTTTTAAATAGCAATGACAAGACAATATGTTAAAAGAAAATAATGGAAGGTATGGTGATAAAGACACGATAGTTTTAAGCAAAACTAGAAATTGCTAAGGGACAGTTTCCATATGTTAAAGTCAAAAAAGCCACACATATCAAATTTTCTGATCAAGGTAGGTACCACGTACTTGCTGGCTTTGTCTGGACTACAGAAGACAAAAGAAAGTAAATTGTGATATTTAGATGTAAAAAGAAAAGAGTCTACTTTTTTTTTTCTTTTTAATATTCAAATATTTTTATAGCAGTCAGTTCCCGCTTGTTCTTAGCTTCCTCTACTTATGTAAAGATGCACAGCTTTCAGGCCCCTAAATGCAGGTAGGCTCTAACACGTTTAGACCTTTGTAAATCCCACTAGCTATCAGCTCCTGCCGAAATAATGCAGTATCCTGTCATTATATGATGTCATATCCGACACCAAGTTGGGTGGGAGCGTTGATCTGCTCGAGGGTAGGAAGGCTCTGCAGAGGGACCTGGACAGGCTGGATCGATGGGCCCAGGCCAACTGTATGAGGTTCAACAAGGCCAAGTGCCGGGTCCTGCACTTCGGCCACAACAACCCCATGCAGCACTACAGGCTTGGGAAGGAGTGGCTGGAAAGCTGCCTGTCGGAAAAGGACCTGGGGGTGCTGGTCGACAGCCGGCTGAACATGAGCCGGCAGTGTGCCCAGGTGGCCAAGAAGGCCAATGGCATCCTGGCCTGTATCAGAAATAGTGTGGGCAGCAGGAGTAGGGAAGTGATGGTGCCCCTGTACTCGGCCCTGGTGAGGCCGCACCTCGAATACTGTGTTCAGTTTTGGGCCCATCACTACAAGAAGGACGTTGAGGTGCTGGAGCGTGTCCAGAGAAGGGAAACGAGGCTGGTGAGGGGTCTGGAGAACAAGTCTTATGAGGAGCAGCTGAGGGAACTGGGGTTGTTTAGCCTGGAGAAAAGGAGGCTGAGGGGAGACCTCATCGCTCTCTACAACTACCTGAAAGGAGGTTGTAGCGAGGTGGGGGTCGGTCTCTTTTCCCAAGTAACTAGTGATAGGACAAGAGGAAATGGCCTCAAGTTGCGCCAGGGGAGGTTTAGATTGGACATGAGGAAAAAATTCTTTACTGAAAGAGTGGTTAAACATTGGAAGAGGCTGCCCAGGGATGTGGTTGAGTCACCATCCCTGGAGGTATTTAAAAGACGAGTAGATGCGGCGCTTAGGGACATGGTTTAGTGGGCATGGTGGGGTTGGGTCGATGGTTGGACTCGATGATCTTAGAGGTCTTTTCCAACCTCTGATTCTATGATTCTATGATTTAGCACAGTAATACATTTATGTATTCCAGGACCATTTCTTCCTGTGTAACAGTGTAAATCAGAAGTAGCTCCAGACCAGTCAATATTCCAATGGTTGGAAATTTTGGGTGGGATACAACTGATTTGCAACATCAAGAAAACATTCATCTACACTTTTAGTCAGGAGAGTGCTAGTCATCTCCAGAGGATAATTCATACCATTATAAAATGTTGGTTAAAGAAAGACGGGATGACCTACCCACTGTTTGTGTTTGCCTGTTTCAAGCTCAACAGGTATTGATCTGAAAACTCACAAGTTATTTTGTAGTGGCTTATGTTAAGATGGCCAACCTGAAATACTACTTTTTCAGTTTGGTTCCAACAAACAGGAAAAAGACTTGGCAAGTATCTGATGCAAACATATCTTACAAAAAGTAGTCAAGTCATCATATTTCTAGCAGTTTTGTTTCCAACCACTGCTAAACCACAGTTTGAGCCTTCTGATTTTGCTCACAAACTAAAGGTGACGCTTAGCTGACCCTAAAAAAACCCTGTGAATTTAGGTGTGAAAATCCTGTAAATTCAAAGATGTCATTTTTTCCTTCTCCAGACTTGTTTGCCTATCAGTAATTGCTAACTCATTAAACGTTCAGGTTAGAAATATATTGAAGTATTTTGCAGTAATTTCTCCAATTCTATTAACATAATCATAATTTATATGGTTTTGAACAAGCTACAGCAGTTTATGAGCCGATAAAAACTATCAAAACAATATTTTTATTGGATAGAGTGTTGTAAAACATCACTTCATAGTAAAATGATAGATTATTATGAGAGTTCTTATAGAAAGCAATATAAACTCACAAATTACATGAATGTTCACAATTAGAGACAGAACCATACTATTCTGTACATCTATTCTGCTACTGAAGAGAAGAAAAAAACATACAAAATGAGAATGGAAATGAGGTTGTAAACAGCACCATTCAGCTTAAAACAAAACAGCATTTTACTTTATCGAAAATATTCATCATCATCACCATCATCATCATATCAAATGAAAATCTGTTGTTGGCATCATTGTCTAAGATTTGGCAATCTTTCATTTTATGTTTGGATCAAGGCTACCCCCGGTAGAAATCAAGAAGTTGATATCTAGAAAAAGCCTTCAAAACAGCTTTGTGTAGACTGTCAATGATGATGGGAATGTTCTAATTCCTTGGGTGACCCTTCAGGGCTTCTATAACAATCAATATTACTTGAATCTTTCCTGTCAGCATTATTATTACAAAACCTGCAAGGTATAAATAATAGAAAAGACCCAAAGACTTAGAGGTTAGTTCCAAAAACATTTTCCCCATGAGAAAGCCAGTTTAAGACCCATCCAAGTCCCTAATCCAACAGGTGATTCACCCTCCTGCATCACTCCGTACTTGGGCACTGGTCTCTGCGCTGTAAATGCAGTTGATTCAAAGATCTAAGTTTAAAGAAAAAAAACCCCACCAACAGCAATGCCTTACAAGGATATTTGGGATCATTTCAAAGATCTGATTTACAGCTCCACCCCATTTCATTAGCCCTGCTCTGTCAGAGAGGCTAGAACAAGCAGCCCAAGAGCTGAAATGTCTTGACCTGGCTTTGTCATTGAAAAGACTGTTCTTAGAATGGTATCTGCAGTTGTCACTCTGCTGGATTTACTCTAAGAAAGCTTTATCAGTCAAATATTTAAAAATACTGTAAAAAAATGATTACAATGCAAATGTACTACATTAGAAGAGTCCTGAAGAGCGTTTAACAGCCTCTCTTACCCCCTCCCCCCGCCCAAATCAGGAGAGAATGGCTTGTTCCTACCTGACTTCTCAGTGGGAGTTGTCTTTTGTTGTTTAATTTTCTCCTCTGTATTGTGAAAGCAGCATTAAAGTTAGAAATTCACACTGTGTTAGCAAAGGTCCATATAACTGGAAAAATATTTCTATATATGATGTTATACATATGGTTCACAATGCCAAAATAAATGCATGCATCACTACCCCATTGTGGCACTGTAAAACAGCACGTATGCATTATGAGTTCTGACTGCATGGTGAGACCATACACCATGGAAAAAAAAAAAAAATTACTGGGCCTAATGTCTCAGCCACCAGAAAACAGCCACATACCTGGTAGTGTCTTTCAGGTAGGCACTCAGGTGGAAACTGTATTCTAATAATAAAACTATTATAAATTTGTGGACATCACCTTGCTAAGTGTCTTAAGTTCAACAGTTTGGTATTATACAACACTGAGAACTTCTGCTCAGATACTGCTTAACCACAATTAAGTACGGATGTATCCATGTGTGTCTGCACTCTGAAGACGAGAAAGGTACGGAGACCCCCAAGCACATGCTAACTCACAGAGCCATACCCACATGGGACAGTGCCAGTCTGAATGCCAGTTCATACCACCTGCTACTGGACAAGCTTACCTAGACCCAGCTGGATATCTGTCACAAAACCTTAGAGCAGCCCTGAGCTTCTTCTGCTGATCTCATGAGAAAAGCTGCCCAGGTTCACGTGCTCTTGAGCTGCCTGTGGCTTTGCTCAGCACAGTTGTCAGATGACATGGACTCATGTCGACATCAGCTACCAGACCTAAGCTGCCTCTCCTCCAAGCAGGCTGGTGGATGAAGCTTCAGGCAGAGGTGCAGGCAGGACTACACCTTCTGATCAGGTGAGATTTGTCTTAACTGCCCAATGGCCCAGTCAGGTGGGAATTGGGATGTTTGTTTTTGGATGTCCACTCAGAGAGAGTTGGTTGACTTGAACTTTCCCCTTCCTGATCCTTTCATAGCTCTGCTCCCATTTTCTCTCTTTTCCCATACCTGAATTCAAACCCCTTTCCTAACCCCTGCCTTTCAACATTCACATACATCACTGCTATTCTTTTTAAGTATGTTTAAGACACATTCAGAACGTATTTCCCCTTCCTCTCCCTGAGGGAAGCAGTTTACAGTCACATGCCTCTGGCCCCTTCCTTTTCTCCAAGACCTCTGCGAGGCATCAGATTCAAGCTGACAATGGCTGGGTGGAGGTCAGGTTGTGCAGGAATGTCTTGTCCCCTGAAGCCATTCAACTCATCTGAGTACTAGTTGGCTAGAGACCCCCCCGGGTAATCTGTCTGTGCATGCACAAAGCTGCTTGCCTCCTGAATACGAGCAATGTTTCCAGCCTGGCAGTCAAACTTGTTCTTAAACGAGATGATGGAGGGAGGTACGGGGAAGGCGACGAGTGGCTAGAACCACCTGTGAATTATCAGATCCCTGGTTTACCAATTGCTGTACCTATGTACCCTCAAAGAGTCAACCTCAAGAACTGCTGCTTTTTTTTGTGGGGGCTATTCCTCTGGAACCCAAATGTCCAGGTTTGGATGGTAAATCCTAATCTGCACTCTGATTAAATATGTGGATAGCACAGTATTTAGAGGAGCAGACTGTTGAGTGGTCTCAACATACATGACATCTCCTTTGAATTTAGCATGTAACCTTCAGAAGAATTTTTTCTGAGGGCAGAGAGCAGGTTTATCTTCTTCTCTGTGCTGATTTCTTTTTAACTTAGTTCTCTGAGGTTCCCAGAGGTATACACTTGCCAAAGAGGCCTAAAAAGGCATTTATCATATGTCAATAGATGGAGAAAGAGCCTAATTGCTGTACAGTCCATGTTTCTCATCCATAACACAGCAGCATCCAGTAAAGCTACAGTGCAAGTATGGACATGAAACATACAATATTTGTGGTCTGGGTTTTGTTTGTTTGGTTTGGGTTGTTTTGGTTTGTTTCTGGAAAGAAATCGGTACAGATGGGGGAAAATACAGGGAGGGATAAAGCTCCATGGTTACGGATCTCTTCTATTCTTTGGAAATAAAATATAGCCTGCATTTCTATGCTTTTCAGTTGTCATCTGGTAGGTGGCGATTTAATTTCTCTTCACTTGTATTAAGTTTAGGGCTTTTTTTTTTCCCCTTACTCCGCTATTGTTATTGTCAGCTTCTTATGCAAGCAGTGAATTAAAAGATCTCATCTCCATTTCATGGCTGTCTGTGAAGTTAGAAATGGTTTTATAGCACAACCAGCAGCTTGAAGATGCAACTTGTTGAGATAAAGTATCCTCTTTCTGCTCTTAGATGAGCTTTAGCATATAACAGTGCATTTTACTAATTTAGACTGGGGTATCAAGTTTTCCATGTACCAATATACAAAAAAACCCAGCATGCTGATTTTAAACATAGGCCCTGTACCATCCACTGGATTAATGACAAGTAAAGCTCAAAAGATTTGGAGCTTCTCTTTCTTTGGCTATTATCCCTGCTCTTTTGAACACTAAATAGGATATTTTTGCTTTTTCTAATTCTGGCGAGAATTTACAGCAATGTTTGCTCTGTCACTCTAGGAATCAATCAAATGAGTCTGTGAGTAGATGACATGTCTGAGCCTTAAAAGTATGGGAGGGATTTTCTTTTTAAAATGAATTCGTTCCTGAAAACAGAGTGTCTTGGACAGGCTTGTGGACTTGCATTCATCTGGGAATAAATACAGTAATTCTTTGGTATTCATTCACCTACCTATTCTGCAACCTAACCATGCAGCAACTATTGATCTGCTGATTCCACTGGAGAACATCCTGACCCGTTTCCTGGCAGATCTCCAGGAGGTGACTGTATGGCTTTTTTCTCTGAGTTTCTAGCCATTGGTTGTAACCAGAAGGAAAACTGAAGGAGCAGATTATCAAGACTTAAGGAGAACACTGTCTATGAGGGAACACACTTCAAGACATCGGGAAGCTTCACAAAATCATTTCTGTTCACCAGAATTCAGTATGAAGAAAAGCAGTAAAAAAAAATCTGATGAGGACAATACATATTATTTTGGCAAGAACACAACAAATATTTCCAATTTCTCATGTACTTTTTGTTTATTATATCATGAGAAGTCTGGCAAAAAAAAAAAAAAAAAAAGAATTTTTGATGACCTCATAAAGCTACAAAAAGTCCAAAATATTTTTTGTGAAGATTTCAGAAAAAAATCAGATTTTGTTCTGATTTTGCATAAGCGCAAAGTTTAAAGTTTTGAAATCTTTCATTGGAGAGAATTTCTTTCCTCTGCAGAGCTCTAGTTTTGCAGCACTACAAGCATTAATAATCATTTTTCCTCAGACATATCTAATTTAAATGGAAAAATATAAAGCTGTAAACATTTCTCCGTGTATTTCAAGCAGTTTCAGAAGAATTACATCAGGAATGAATCTCTTGCTTTACTTGCTCTCACACACATACACAAAACACCCTTTAATTTAAACATTTCCTTACAGGATCAATATATTTTCTGAAATTCTCTAGTTTCTCAGTCATGTGGTACTTCTAAGTCTGATGGTGGGAGGCATAGGAACAATAGTCTGAAGCTGCTCTGAATCAAGGTGAAAAAGAAGGCCACCGTTTTGTGCAGAATGAGGCTTTTCTAATTTAGTCTGCTAACTCAAGAGCGCTCATTGGCACACAGCAGGCAGAAGCATTATCACCAGTGCTTGCAGATTAATACTTCCAGTCATCAACTGAAACTCAAAACAGCCAGTGCTCTCCAAAACAATGGTTAATCACCTGAGAAGAGATCTTTTATGCTAAAGGAAATTTAGCAAGTCTTTTTTTTTTTTTCTTTTTCTTTCCTTCAGGCATTTAAATTCCAAGGACTCTAGTCGGGAATATACTGTACTATACTAGAGTAAGCTCCTAATCAGTCCAATGTACTGGTTTGTGACATGATGCTCCGATGTTTGCAAATGCCTCACCAGGGAAATTTATTTTTTTGCTGCTATCTGGATGAGATCAGGCTGATTGTGCAGCAGGACTGATTTCATTTTGCAGGAAAGGTCAGCGGTCATGCCACCTGCCTGGGTGACCCACTGTTTGGCTGCTGCTGTCCCCTCTCAGGATGCACAGAGCTGGATGGGATGGCTTCCTCGCTAGGACGTTCCTGTCTTGGCTGAGCCCATCCGCACCCACCTGCTGGCTGAAGCACTCCGCTAGCTGTTAATACACAAAAAGTGGTCAACAAGGCAAAAAAAAAAGCTTGGCCTCTGTTTCTTTGAAGGCTGGAGTGAGAAACATTGCTTTTTTCCTGCTGTTGACTCAAACCCAGCAATACAACTTCACTAAATCAGCTACTCAAAGCTTGCAGGAAACCTCAAAATGTCTATGGAAATACTTAACTTACAAGTAGAATATTGTAGTGTAAAAACAAATGAGAAAAATAGTAAATGCATACGAGAAATTGTTTTCTTTCAAAAAAAGAAGCATAATAAAAAAAAGGCTTCCTGCTTATCATTGAACACAGAAGGTTTTAAGTGGTTTATCCAGTCCCTTATTCATGAGCACTTCATTTTTATGTGATGTTCAAACAGCAGCACTGCCAGCAAAGGTCGATGGGAGGCTGATACTTGCTTTTCAGTGCCCACTGTGTCTGGTAAGACCACTCAGGAGCGATGTAAGCAGGGCACCAATAGCTGAGTTTTCTATGAGGATATCCTCTTAGTCTTGCTTCTTCGCACCAGACCCAACTGTGGATCCCTGAGTGTCTTCCTTCTCAAAAAGCATGGTGAGGCACAAAGCCCTGGTTTGAAATGGGTACCCCTGTCCTGCTCACCACAGTCAGTTGTCGCTGGTTATTACTTGCAGTTTACCTGAGTGCATAGTCAGCCCAAGATTTTTTTTTTTAATTGTTCAGCTTCTGTTCTTCTGAGATTCAGAAACTGGAGGCTGCCTCTGTGCACGCCGTCATGTACCCAGTGAGATTGTAGCTCCTCCTTTTTGGGGACAGAGCCATTTCAAGTAACAACTGGTTTACAAGAAAGGCTGAAATGGCGTAACTCCCAATATTCCTCTTTGATGTACTGAAGGGCAGTAGAGAACTCCTTCCCCAGACTCTGGAAAATGGGTTTTGCTAACACTTTATAAGCTGTACTGCACCAATGAGAGTCACAGGAACCATGAAAAACTGTGAAAGCTGAATCCTAGTTAAATTTCACCCTCATTTTTGCTTCTCTCCCAATTCTGAAAAAGCCAATGACACAAAGCAAAATAAAAAGAGTGCCTAGCTCAAGAAAGTCTCCAGGTTTTGCAAACCACAGAAATCATTATTGAATGGAGCCTGGAGTAACTGGAAATTAAGTTACCAAACATACCTGGCTTAGTCTGAGGGACAGCTTTTTCATGTTTAACGTGTTCATGCTCTGCAAATAAGAACACCATTTATGTTAGAGGGCTTTTTAATTTTTAGGAGATTTAAAAAATAAAAGATTCTCTTTATGATTTTAAAAGATGACTTTGCATTACATATTCACACTAGACTTGAGAAGAATTTTTTGATAAATATCTTTCTTGAGAAAAAGTATTTAATTTATTTTTTTCCTAAAAAATAAAAATAATGCCAAAGAAAAATGTTTTTACTTTTTAATGTGGTTTAAGAAATCACAAATTTCCATTCTGTGTTTTTTAGAAATGTCATAGAATTTTTAAAATTGTGAAATGCTTCCACTACTAATTTAGATTGCTGTCATCTGTCTTCTATATAGAAAATTTCTCCTTGATGTTTAATATAGAAATCATGAAAGTATATTATTACAACAGAAGTAGGGTTGTCTCATGTAGAATGACAAATAACAGTTCAGTATATTGCATAAAGAAAAAACAGCTTTCCATATTTCTCTGTTAGCCTGAATCCCATAGATATATTGTGAAGCAAGAACAATAATAAATATTATACTATATTAAAATATAAGCTGTATGCAACTTTGTGCTATTTAAAAACAGTGTGATATCCAAAACCCAACATTATGAGACAGAAAAAAGAAAGCTATGGAATTTCAGAGGAATGTTAAAAATATGTTTCATTCTGATTTATAACAGCTATGTCTAAATTGTGTAGCAGGTGAGGGCTGCAGGATACCAAGAGATAAATCTCTCTATTGCCTGGATCAAGCCCTAGCCAGAGAATTGCAATGACCCTTCCTCATCTGTGTCTCCCTTGATTTTTTCCAGTGAGAAGCTGCCATGGAGGCAGAGGGCACAGGTAGGTCTTACCCAGCCTGAACTGGAAAACAGTTTCCATGCACATTGGGACCTGTGAAACACACCTGGTCCTGCATTACAGAGTCATTGAAAACCATTTTGATAAGTCAAAATTTCCTGTGAGCTTGTGTTGATGAAGCTCATCTTAAGCTGCTAAAACTTTGGCAACATAAAGGAATACCTTCCTCCTAAAAGCTGAAGTAACAATATTCTTTATCAACTTGATACTTACTGTGTTCGTGAGGTTTCTCTGAGGTAGCTAGAAGTAAACAAAAAAAGGTGTATTTTAATATTTTTGTGACTGTAATGCAGGATTTAATGCATTTATTCATGACGTTTGTAGACAGGTAAAATAAATGTTCAGTGAAATCTATATTAAAATGTGCAACAGTTAGCATTGCTTTACTTATACTATCTACCCCAACTGGGACACTTAGTTAAGGAACACAGGCACCTTAAATTCCTCATTTAGCCAATGTTTGATGCAAATACCTCTTGAAGACTCTGCGCCTCCTCAGTGGGCTGAATCACCCTCACTAAATGGTGACCATATATCAAACGTAGGGCAACTACCTTGCTAAATGAGGTGCTCAGTTCAGTGCCCACTAAGAGACAGGGCAAGTTCAAACCATGAGGTGCCCAGTACAGGACAAAGCCAGGCAAATTATTTTGGGCTGAGTGAGGAGATGACACCTTGGGCAGTCTAAATGTAAGAGTCCCTGACAATTGCACCTGCTCTAGTGAGGTCAATGAATTTCAAATGGATTCAGTGATACTCCAAGGAGCAGAAGGATGTATTTGAAATTGTACTTAATGTAATTAGGGCACATCTGAGTCTAAGGACTCAGCATTTCCTTGCCACAGCTCCTAAAATTTGCGCTTTTTAATTTTCTAGTTTTTCCCAGAAAAAAGAGATGAGGCAAAACTGAAAACTGAACTAATACTTTCCATGGACCTCAAGAGAACGTTTCTCAGGTAAAGCGAGAGCTCAGGGAGCTGTACCCAGTGCCATTATTGGTGCTACAGAAGGAAATGAAATGTCAAGACCCACCAGCTGGATTTTTCTTCTTGACTTTTGCAAGACACCTGTTGTTTTTAAGAGAATAAAAGCTCTACCACCTGCATGTAGCAGTCCGCTGTGTGTGAAAGAGTGTAATCCCACAGAGAGATGCAGCAGTGATGGGAATGAGCTGCCTTTGCAGACCCAGCACCACAAGCAATAATTCTGCTGCTGTGAGTTCCTGGGCTGTCATTCACTGAGCTCCTGAGCTCCCACTCGGGGCAAGAAGTAAGTAACTGCTGTGCAGGTGGGTTTTTATTTTGCTTGTTTTCCCTGCAGTATAAAAATGCTCCCATTTTATATCCAGTCTCTATTTAATCCAAGTTGTTGCTGTGTGTTTAAGGAGACAGCAACTGGAGATGGTGTGCAGAGCAAAGCAAAAATAACAGAACATTTTTTGGAGTAATAGAGACTAAAGATACAAATTAAGTGTATATACTTGCTCCTAAGTGAGAAATCAGAAATAAGAAACAGCAGAAAAACAGGGATCCTATGACAAAGCCACATTTGTTATCTTTATGTGCGTAAGAAAACCTTCTTGTAAATTTAGGCTCAATTGTTTTGCCTAAACACACCCAAATCCACAAAAAATTGTTCCCTAAACATAGAATCATAGAATCATAGAATCATTGAGGTTGGAAAAGACCTCTAAGATCATCGAGTCCAACCGTCGACCCAACACCACCATGCCCACTAAACCATGTCCCTAAGCGCCGCATCTACTCGTCTTTTAAATACTTCCAGGGATGGGGACTCAACCACTTCCCTGGGCAGCCTCTTCCAATGTTTAACCACTCTTTCAGTAAAGAAATTTTTCCTCACATCATAAGCTTAGGTAAATTCTATTGCAATTGAGTATCCATGAAATATGTCTGAAATTTGTAGAGGAAATTAATTTTGTATTGTGTCAAAAGGCATAGCGAGATATGCTCATCTAGCTATGATTTTCAATTTGCAAAAGGAAATTCATGGCAAATATTAAAAAAAAATCTGAACTTCAGGGGCTGGTATAATGACTTACATAACTATCACAGAATATTGTGTCACATAACACTTTCAGTAACCACCAACAATGATCGGAGCTAGGCCACTTAAGAACGGTATTAACTGAAAGACCCTTTACTGACACTGCTGAATGAATTTTACAAGCAAGCTTTGATTATAGCATCCTTATCTCAGCTCTGCAATTTGTTTTAAAACACTAAAATCAAAACAAAACCATTACACCTTAACTTTCTAGTAAATCTAGTGCAGTTATTTCCCTTTTTCTGCTGGTGAATGAGAATCACAGAGAATGTTTAAAGCAATAGGAACTCAGCCCAGGTCTGGTCCCTCAAGTTCAGGAAGGTATCTTGTGTTGCTCTTGTCCATATTTTCTGTGGAGGTATTAATTAGCCAAACTCGTGTAGTGTCAGTATCCAGCCAGAGCTTGAACACTGAGATTATTGCTATCAGAGGTTTGCCTAAGAGCCCAGACTTCTTTTTTCTGGCGTAATGCTCAGAAATATTTCTACCGCATATTTTAATGAAATGATGAAGATTTTCTAAAGTTAAAAGTTTTTACAGGATGTGTTGGCTATTCTAAAACATATCTGTATTTTGTTGGGGAAAAAAAACAAAGTGAAATTTTGAGATGGTCTTTAGGCCATAAAGGTAAACATTTATATTTTGCCAAATCTGCTAACTATGATTTCAGTCCATTCAATATTAATCTTATCCTTCTTATGTGTCATATTATCTCATCAAAGATGTAATTCAAATGACTTATACAGTAAGCAGGAAGCCAAAAAATTAAATCCCAAGAACCTTAGTTTCATTTTTACAATATCACAATTGTCTGTAACACAGATACCCTGATTTTTAGTCTACTTAGTGAAAATGGGAAGAAGATAAAAGCTAAATGTCAATGACCTAGTCAGACTTTCCAGAATATTTAATGATATATTATATGGTATTTAAACAAAAGGGTGAGAAATGAAAGGCTGTATTCTGCTGCTCTCACTCATTTCATGTAGTATCTTGCACTGAAAGTAAAGCAGCTCTATGCAAGTTCTGTGTTTAAATAATATTTCTTTATACAGTGCCTAGATAAGCTGTGAAACTCCATGCTGCAAAATGTGTGGATGTTGAAATTTTTCACGATTTCAAAAAGTGACTGGGCAAATTAGAGAAAAATCTACCAAGTGCTCTTAAACATGAAGATATGGTTTCTGACTTAGGAAGTTGCTGAGCTGAGATCGTGGGAGGTCACAAGGTGATCTCTGTGCGGCTGTTTTATTCCTGTACTCTTCCCTAGGCGTTTGCTGCTTTGGCCATTGGTGGAGAGATGGTGTTGGGTTAGATGAACTCTTGGTCTCACTTCAAACAGCTGTTCTGATGTTATTAACTAACAGGACTACCTGTTGGGTAAAGAACTGCTTGTTGTTCACAATGTTAGAAAATTCAGTCCTAAGTAAGTACTTTATCTTTATCTGTTTAACCTTTAAAACATATTAGAGGAGGAAAAGGGTCAGATTTGGATCTAATGAAAACAGATGGATCTTTGATGAAATTCTTGAAGCTACATAATATCTGCACTGGATGAATGAAATTATCTGGTTCTACCCTCAGCAAAAACGTTTTTGAAATTTCTTTTGTGTCATTCTAAATTAAACTTGATAACCGGGCTTGGTAGTTATCTTGCTGTTTTTCACATTCACTTCAAATTTTCTTTGACTCTTGCCTGCTATTCTGAATGCCAGAAGGGTATTAATTATATGCGGCATATTTTTTATAAATTAGCTTCTGATATGGGTTCAGAAAAGAAATCTTCTGGTTTATTGAACCATAAATTGGTGAGGTTAAAAGCAGAACATGCTTTTTGATTATAACATGTCTATTTTCCATCTGGATAACAGTCATTTGCTGTTCAGACAGCAAATATATTTGTGTGCACACTCTGTAAGAAAAGAATATGTTGTGCAGGAAATGAAAGCAATGCCAGAACTATTTGTTTTAGTGAAGAATTACAAAATAATAATACATGCTGTAACTGAGAAAATTATTTCTAATTGGATAGTTACATGTGTATTATAAAAAAGAAAGTTACTTTCCATTAGGCTAAGTAAGAGCCTGGTTCACCTCTCATTAAAGAGAGCACAAAGACTCTTTAACAGGATTTGGACTGGGCATTAGACAAACACATCCATGACGTCAATCTGTAACACGTTACAGGCCAAAAGAGGAATCAAGATCAACAGGAGTCTTTTAATGGAATTCTCAAGATTTATGCCTTAACCTTCCAGTTTATACATCATGACGAAGGATAAATCTTTGATTTCCTTATTCAGGCTAACTAAGTCCATTCTCCCTGAAAATGAACTCTAGACAAACCAACAATTTGGCCCTTAGACAAACTAATGGACATTCCTCCTTCAAAATTCAGTGGGAATACTGTAGTCTGCAAGAACTTAAGACGCCACATCATTCTGCCTAATCATCAATGCGCTTTTAATTTAAGGTTGAATAAAACAGTTTTGTTGTAGTCAGTGCAAGGTTTTTCAGACTGTAGAGCAACTGTGTTATCAAAAAGTCAACCAGAATAAAACATGTTCCTCACATTGGGCCAGTTCAGAATGTCTCAGATGATAACAACTTCAGAAAAAAAAGGAATTATTAGGATTTATCACTCTGTTCAAGAGCAGCTCCCTGCCTTTGTGAAGTTATTGTCTGTACTCTCTGTCATTCAAAGGAGAAGTCAAATGTTCCCACAATTTTTCTAGATCAGCAGACTTGATCCCTCATATCTACCTGTGTCCTACTCAAGTCCTGCTGGCTGGCTGAGCAGCTGGCAGACTGTACAGAAAAGGCAGTCTAATGAGCGTATGTCAAAAAATGACTCTTCACAAAACAGATTAGCTGCAGCAAGCTTCCTATACAGAGAATGGCTTGTGCTCACCCTGACCCCTGCTCTATGTTAGAAAATTGCCTTGACAGTGTATGGCAAATAGTTACCCTATGGATGGGTCAAAGTAAAGAAAGCAAGAAGAGTGTGGTGCTGGCATAAATAGAGGAAGTTGGTGTATGATTATATTGAAGTGCATGCCATGCAAGCCTTGTCCTTACAGGATCTCTTAATTCCCTACAGCATTCATTTTACATTTCTGGTTTACTTTAAACCTAGCATTTTCCAGGATATTTGTCCAGGTTTCTACACATTA